AACCGGAGCCGGAAAGGCGTGAACCGGAGTCGGAGAAACGACCAGAGTGGGCAGAACACGTCACGCTGGAGTCTGGGCGAATGGAGGCCGGGGCGAATGGCAAGCCATCGCGGGTGAGAATCCCATGCCGCCCCAAAGCCTCGGCGAAGTGCCCCCCTCGCGCCTCGGGCCCTTCGCGCCAGCTGCCGCCGGCGCCTCGCCCACGCCTCGCCCACGCGCGCCGCGGCGTGCCCGTGTGATGTGTCTCGCCTCGGGTCGGCTAACTTCGCGCATCGCGCCCCGCGGCAGGACGCAGCCTTGGAGTCCAGAAACGGTGCGGTGACAGACCGTGCGGTGACCTCGAAATCCTCCGAGACCTCACCGCACGGCCCGCCACCGCACGGTCTTGGGACCCCGGAGGCCCCTGTCGCCCGAGACGTCCTCGGCGAACGACCCGAGTCCCAAAACCGTGCGGTGACCCCGAAGCCCCACCGACTCACGGAGGAGGAGGAGGAGGAGGAGGAGGAGGAGGAGGAGGAGGAGGAGCACGGTGTGGTCACCGCCCCGTTCGGGGGCCCCCGAGCAGCTGCCGCCGCGCCAGCGCGCCTCGGAGGAAGGCGGCTGTGCGGCCCAGAGCGCGACGCGCGATGATCTTGGCGCCCCCGCGGGTAGCCTGCGTTTGGGGGAGCAGGGGCATACGTACCGATACAGCTACTCCTTGGGCCTCTCCTGAGGTGTTCAGACCAGAATTTGGAGGCGAATCCGGCGGTGGCGCCGAGGACTCTCCAGGACGAGCGGCCGTGTCGGCACCTTCCCCTCATCCGAATGTAAGGGCTCCTCGTCCTAGCTCCACAGCTACAATGAACACTGGTCTCGTCTCTCCCCTGTGAGGGGCAACGATAAGGGGGGATGGGCATAGGGGGGATGCATCGACCTGGAATCGGCGATACATCGTCGATAGATCGGCGACAGGCCTCCGATAGTGAATCCGCACCTTCCTGGGCAGGTTGGGGCTATCGGGCCCCTATCGGCGATCAGTGGGCGACTGGGGGTCGATGCATCCCCCCCTATGCCTATCCCCCCCCTATCGTTGCCCCCGACGTCCGAGTCTTAGAGGAACCCAGGGCCTCCAATGACAAGGCGCGCGCGGACAGAGATAGAACCGTCCGCCCGCCGCTGGCGGCCCGAGACTCGACGGGCCGCCGCGGAGAGGGACCCCCCCGCGGAGGGAGGCAAAGAAATCCAGCCGGGGGCCTGGGGGCCCAGGCATGAGTCAGGGAGGCGATGGAGGAGGAGGAGGAGGAGGAGGAGGAGGAGGAGGACAGTGAGGACAGTGCCGAGAGCGTGCAAGTGAATCACGAACACGCCTCGAAAAAAAGAACGAGAGAGGGCCCTCATCCAACAAGGGGCGCTCTCCGCGCCGTGCGCGGGGCAGGGGAGCAACGGTGCGAGGGTCACTAACGGCGCAACGCCGGGCAGTCCCCACTCGCACCGCGCCCCCCGCCCGCACCCGCCCACTATTCGGGTGCCTCGGGCTCGGGCGCCTGCTGAGCATCGCAGGCACCCCGAGCTCCGAGAAAACAAGCGGCTCGAGGGGCTCGCCCGCCTTGGGATGCAGGCCCCTTCGAGCACGCTCGAGCATCGACGCGATGGAGGCCAAGACAGCCCGCTGCACTTAAGGGGCCCTTAAGTGCAGCGGATCTGCTCCTTCCGTGCGCGGGGCTGGGGAGCAACGGTGCGAGGGTCACTAACGGCGCAACGCCGGGCAGTCCCCACTCGCACCGCGCCCCCCGCCAGCACTTCCGCCCACTAGTCAGGTGCCTCGGGCTCGGGCGCCTGCTGCGGCATCGCAGGCACCCCGAGCTCCGAGAAGACGAGCGGCTCGAGGGGCTCGCCCGTCTTGGGATGCAGGCCCCTTCGAGCCAGCTCGAGCATCGACGCGATAGCTCCGTCCCCCCCACTCCCAGCTCCCGCCGACCCCGTCCCAGCCCTCTTGCACGCTCGAGACAGGCCGACCGACAGCCGATTGGGGCGCACAGCGTGCGCCCCGCACTTAACACAGATCAAAACTCGATCCAAGGCCTGGACCTGGTGTCCTGGCCCGACCTCCTGGGGTCGCATGCACGGGAGGCCAGAGACTTCAACGACGAGGCCGTCGCTGCAAGCCTCCAGCAGGCTCGACATCGAATAGCTCCCCCAGCGAAGACCACAAAGTCGTGATCGGTCGGCCGCCGCGGACGGCGGGGCCGAAAGACAGCCTTCGGAGGCGCACGGAGTATCGGGGTGGAGAGGCGGGCCACGCGCTCGGCAGCCCAGGCCAGACAACGCATCGTGTCCTGGGCCCGAAGCAGAGAAAATTTGTGAGCCTTGACCACGGAGGTGGATCCAAGGAAATCAGCCGCTGCCACGCGGGCGAAAACATCAGCCCACATATTACCGAAAAAATGCTCCAGGGGCTCCTGGGAGGCCAGGCAGGCCTCAAACCCCTCGAGGACGGTCCGATGGGCCTTCGTCCAAACAAACACGGGCCTGACAGGGTCGCCTCTATACAGCTCGTGGATGCTCCGCCAGATGGACGCGTGAGGCGCTCTGGCAGAAGCATGACGACCCTCCCAGGCCATTCCCTCGACCTGCAGCTGTAAATGATCAGTCACGTACGTGGCTGGCCTCTGGGCCCTCTGCAGGGCCTTGAGACCAGCAACGCGCTCGGCCCTGGGCACCGTCTGGATAGGGCCCCCCAGGCTCCCGAACAAAGCTTTGTATGGCCACAGGTCTCGGGTCAATGCTACGACGGCCCAGCCACAGCGCCGTTCCTCAGGGAAATCACTTTCAAGACAGGACCCGTCCCCGTACAACTTCGACGGCCACGGCATGTCGATCGCCCCCCACTCGCGCTCAGCCTGAGCACGTGCAGGCAGCGGCCTGAAAGCAGGCCTCAGGGGCAGCGCGTAGAGCACGTCGACGGCCGAGAAGTCCTGCACCTGGCCCCCGTCGCGCCACGGGGCTGCCTCCAGGATGTCCTTCCTCCTCTTGGCCACCTCCTCGGGGTACGGCTCCGTCTCCTCGTCCTCCTGCTGCTGATGCAATACCGTGCAGCCGAAGATCTCATGCTCGAGGTCGCAGCAGGCCTCCCCGCAGAACTCGCACGAACCGTCGCCGCCGTAGCCAGCCTGCATGCGGCGCTGCGGCGACCAGACCCCGTTGGACTGCAGCTTGGCCAGAGCCCCTCTGTGGCCAGGCGCCAAGGAGGCGTGTCCCAGTCGAAGCGCACGAAGCCACACATGCTGCTGCCGCCTGCCGTCACCATCGGCTGGGGGCGCCTCAGGCAGCTGGTCGAGGATACGATGGCTCTGCCAACGGTCGAGGCTGCGACGCAGGAAAAACAGCACCTCACTGGGACAATACTGCAGCAAACTGATATGCAGGCCCTCATCGTCAACCAAGATTGTAGAACTTGCCATGTTCCAGTTGACTCTCCTGAGGGACAACCACAAGGCCGAAAGCGGGCCCTGCGCACTGGCCCACGTGACGTGAGTGTGGCGGGCTTCCCAGGAGTCACGCAAGCCCATCCAGGCCCGCTGCAGTCGGGAGAGCGTCACACGCCCATCCCACACCCACGCCGCGTACTGCCCCACGATGCTGAAGGTAGCGTGGAATATGGGGTCGAAGCTCCACTGCTGCGCGGCCAGGTACAGCGTCAGGGAGCCCGACCCTTTGTAGCCACAGAAAACGCCAGCCATGGTCCTCATCTGCTGCAGCTCCGTGTCGCTGATGCCGCTGACCGTGGCTCCGTGCCCCACGGATGGCAGCACACCCGTGGCCCAGAGCCGAGCCGCCCGCTGTCGTCCTGCTCCCTTCTGCAGTGCTCGAACGCTGGCCTTCTTTCCGTGCATGGCCTTCAGGCGTCCCTTCTGCACGGCCCTTGTGGCCGACGACCCAGCTAGGTCGTGGCCAAGATACCGCATGTGCCTCTTGCCAGCGATCTTCAGCAGCCTGGCGTACTTCTGAAAGTGGTAGCTGGTGCGCCTGGACGTCGTAAGGTGCCCAGACTTATCCATCTGCAGCACCAGCCCGAGGGGCCGGACAGCCCTGCAGAACGCACGAGTGGCAATGGCCATTTCTCGCACCCCGCTCGGGTCGTTGCCGACCCAGCACAGCGCGACGTCGTCCACCAAGTCCTTGGGCTGAACCTGAGGAGCGACCGACATCGTCTGGCGAATGCTGCGAGTCAACAACACCATGAGAAGCGTAGTGGCGTGGGTGCAGCCTGCCAGGATGCCCTGATACGCCCTGCGCGCCACTGAATACGAAGAATACGAGTGCACCGAGCGCAGCTGCTGGTACATCTGCACAAGCATGAACGCCATTCGCATAGGGTATCCACTGGCCCTGCACTCCAACAAAATGGCATCATGCCTGACCAGCTCGTAGCATTTGAGCATGTCCAGCAGCACAATGATGGCGTCGTCATCGCACAGGGTCGCCATCTCCTTGGTGAGCGCCAAATCAAAGGCCGCATCACTCGACGACTTGCCTCCAGTGTGGCCCCAGACCTCTGGTAGCGCATGGGCCTTCTCCCACGCTGCCGAGACAGGCCGCCTCGCCCGTCCCCAGATCCTGACCAGCGTGTTCATCAGCACAATCAGGCGCTCCCCACCCCCTGGCTTGGGGAGTCTCACGAGCTTCGAGAGGAATCTGCCGTCTGGCCACAGCAGGAGGTGCTCGCACCGCTCGAAGAGGCGCGCCATAGCCGTCAGCGCCCCGTGGGAGAGGTGCTCCATGGCCCTGGGCGCGATGTTGATCTGCCCGACGCCTGTCTGCCAAGAGAAACAACGGATTGCCTTGAGTACGTCGGCCGCCTCAAGCCTTGGCAGCTGCTCCCAAGTGTCAGCATCAACAGGTCGGCGAGCCAGCTCACCGCCATGCCGCGCCCAGAAGCTTTCCCAATACTCAAGCTTACGATCAGCCAGTACGTACCCATGTTGTAGCCCATTGCCTCCGTCCACGATCTCCTGGAGAGCCTTGGGCTTCATGAATCGGTGAGCTCCCTTGGCTCCAGCCGCAAAAGCTGCCTGCGCCCACTGCCTCCAGCTCTGCATCACGGCCTTCTCATGCTTGGCCTCAGCATCGGAGGAGATACTCAGGATGCGGTCGACCTGCTGCTCGAAGTCTGCCTGCGCTAAGGCAAGTATGCCACGCGAGAAGAAGCCGACGGCTTCGGCGTCCAGGTGCGGCCAGACTCCCTTCCTCCGCCAGATTCTCCGGAAGAAATTCTCGCACTCCAGCAGGTGGCGCGCCGCCTTGGAGTGCACGGCGTCCCACGATAGGTCCTCGCCTGCCCGTCGCGGGGGCTGGTGTCGCTGAGCTCTCGACCGAGGCCGACCACCATCGGAGGAGAGACCAGCCACTCCGACGACCTCCGCAGCAGGGGGTGCCCCATCGCCCAGGCCAGGCACACCGTCGACGTGCGCCTCGCCGACGCTGCCGAGCTCGAAGACCTGCTGCGGGCGTAGCTGGAGCACGAAGCTCTGCAAGGCCACTCGAACCCTCCTGAGGTGACGAGCCCAGCGCGCAGCCTGCGCCCAGGCCTGGGTGTCCGCCGACCTCCTGCTCCAGGCACCTTTCACGACAGGGTGAAAACTCGCCAGCTCGAAGGTCGGGGGGCCTGGCACCGTGGAGTACCCCGCCACGTCCTTCACGACGTCGTAGCGGCCCCGCAGCTCGAACTCGATGCCGCTGAGCACGACGTCCCAGGCCCTGGTGATGCCCTCGCTGTGCGACGCGCTCTGGATGATCGCCAAGGTCGGGTCCCAGTCGGGGGGGAACCTCGCGCACCCCGCCGCAGGCGGCCTCCGAAAGCCGCGTGGCTCGACAAGCCTCCTGACCTTCGCGTCAAAAGCCGTGGCGGAGAGCTCCATGGTCACTGGTAGATGCGGCCACGTCTCCGCGTCGACGACCATTGGTTGCCGAACGCGAGGCAGCAAACGGCAAGAAACCATGAACATGTCAATGGTGCGGCCAGGAAGGCTCTGAAGACAAGTCGGCTCTCTCGGCGCCAGCACCACGCCATTGGCCGACTGGAGCCAGGACAACGGGCCGAGCTCGCCTACCTCCATGTTGAAGTCGCCTCCTACGATCCACGGAACGCCCATGGCCTCCAGCGACCTGACATACTGGTACAGCTTGTACAGCATGGCCAGGTTCTCGGGCGACAGCTTGACGTCCACAATGAAATAGCACGACAGCATGACGAAGCCGCCCTTCACCCCAGCGTGGACGTGGGCCGCCATCATCCTGCCTTCCTGCAGCACGTGACTGTCCAGGCCTGGGGGTTTGGTGATGACCACCCGCAGCGGGGCCAGCACCGCAACCCCGCCTCTGCTGCCAACTCCCTGCCCAGGTAGGGCGGGCTCCCATATACCATGGTACCCAGCAGCTCTTACTTTATTCTGCAACTTCGCCAAAGCATCGCCCTCGGCCTTGGCATGATGTTCCTGCACCGCGATGCAAAACTCGAGCACGTGGGCAGGAAGTCGACGAGCGGGCCGCCCGAGGACACGTTCACGGTGGTGATACTTGAAACCGACGCCATGGTGCGACAAAGGAGGACGAACCACACAAGACACGCAAAACCATCGCCGTGGAGCCATGCTAGGCAGGGGTGAGCCTGGGCCTCTTGACCTTGGCACCCCAACGCATGAAGATCTCCTCCAGCCTGTGCTTCTCGCCCCCAGCCGCAACGACTTCCTCCATGAACTCAGGGTCGTCGGAGAAGGCAGATGGCTGTGGTGTGCGAGGCGCTGCCGCGTCGTCCTGCCGCTCGGCCTGCTCGACGTCGGGACCAGCCTCGGCCCCAGCATCCGCCTGCGCCTTCTGGGCAGCCAACTTTGCCGCCTCCTCCTCCTGCAACCTCTGCAGCTCCTGGAAGCTCGCCGTGAGGCTGCCCGACAGCTGGTGATCGGCGCCCAGGCTCTGGAGCAAGATCCCGAGGCCCTCGAGCGTGGCACCAACCCCCTTGATCGGCTCGTCGAGCGACGCCTTGTCGCCAGGCGTCGGAACCTGCCCTTGAAGCCTCTTGCGCTCCTGGTCCAGCTCCTCCATGCTAGCGTCGAGGGCCGCCAGCTTGTCCCGAGTGAGCCGTTCCTTCTCCTGCAGGTCGCGCAACTGCGCCTGCAGCCCATCGAGCTTGGTCTGCTGGTCGTCGCGCAGCTTCTGCAGCCTGGTGAACTGAGTTCCCATCTCGCGCAAGCGCTGTCCGAGCGGTCGGGACTCCGCCACCCTAGCCCGCAGCTCGGCCTGCTCGGCCAGCAGCTTGTCGCGCGTGGCCACGACCGACGGCTCGGTGATGCCCTTGAGCTTGCCGATGAGGTCGCCGACCTCGCGTAGCCTGTCCTTGGCGACGGACTCGGGGCCGTCTCCGTCCGCGGCCGGCTCCATCTGCACGTCCTCCCCGCCAGGCGGCGGCCTCTGCACAGCGGCAAGCCGCTTGCGGGCCTCGGCGAGCTCGGACTTGAGCTTGGCCACCTTGACGGAGTCGTCCCAGTAGCCGTTGCCGCTGCCGCCCTGATTGCCCTTCTTCCGCTGGGAGGGGGCCGCGGGCTGGCGCACGCTGTGGAAGACCAGTCCCTTGCCCAGCTTGCACTTCGCACACTGCCGCGCCTCTGCATGATTCCACCACGGTCTCCCCGAAGGCCCGCAGCAGCTCTTGCAGTACCAAGGAAGCGCCTGCTCCGAACGGTAATGCGGCGGTGGCATCTCCACGACACCAGGCAGCAGCACACACGGTGGGCCGTGGCAGCGCGATCTGGAAAGGACTGGGTGTGGGCGCCCAACTCCCACGGTGAAGGCGAACGGTGGTCTGGCCGCGGACTAGCGGTATCCGTGCGGTCCCCAGGGGAACCAATCATCTTGAGCCAAAATGGCTACGGAGGAGGGGGAGGAGGAGGAGGAGGAGGAGGAGGAGGAGGAGGAGGAGGAGGAGGAGGAGCAGGAGGAAAGGAGTAGGAGAAGGAGGAGGAGGAGGATGGCGGAGAAGGAGGAGGAGGATGATGCATGGAAGCAGGAGGAGGAGGCGCAGAGGAGAGGAGGAAATGGAGGAGGAGGAGGAGGAGGAGGAGGAGCAGGAGCAGGAGGAGGAGGAGCAGGAGGAGGAGGAGCAGGAGGAGGAGGACCCTGACTCTGTGCTGAAGATGCTGGGCGCCGGGGCCTCGGCGGCGGGCGTGCTGCCACTGCTCTTCGAGGCAGGCGCCTGCGGGCAGGCGGGGGGCGGGGCGGCGCGGGCGGGGAGGCGCCTCCAGACAGGCGGCTTCCTCTCAGCCCGCTCGAGCAAGCTTCAAGCGTCCAAGGGGCTTCCTCCTCCTCCTCCTCCTCCTCCTCACCTTTTTTTTCTGACGTTTATCGGAACGTAAGACCGGTGCGGTTTGCGTCCCTACCCTCCTCTTGATTATTCCCGTATTGGCGAGATAGAATGAACGGTGCTAGTTGCGTCCCTCCTCCTCCTCCTCCTCCTCCTCCTCCTCCTCCTCCTCCTTTATTGACGTTGATCGGACGTGAAGACCGGTCCTTGTTGCGTCCCTCCTCTTCCTCCTCCTCCTCCTCCTCCTCCTGCTGCACCTCCTCCTCCTCCTGATCAACCTGATCCTGATGATCCTCCTCCTCTTCTTCCTACTCCTCCTCTCCCTCCTGTATTTGCGACGATCGGAGTGAAAGAACGGTGCTAGTTTGCGTCCATCCTCTCCTTCTCCTCCTCCTGATCCTCCTGATCCTCCTGATCCTCCTCCTCCTATGATCCTCCTCTCCTGGTCCTTCTCCTCTCCTCCTCCTCCTCCTCTCCCCTCTCCTCCTCCTCCCTCCTCCTCCTCCTCCTCCCTCCTCCCTCCTCCCTCCTCCCTCCACCCTCCTCCTCCTCCCTCCTCCCGCCTCCCCCCCCCCCCTCCTCCCTCCTCCCTCCTCCCCGCCTCCCTCCCTCCCTCCTCCTCCCTCTCCCTCCCTCCCCCCCCTCCTTCTTCCCTCCTTCCCTCCCCCCTCCTCCCTCTTCCCTCCTCATTCTCCTCCTTCTCCTCCTCCTCCTTCTCCTCCTCCTCCTCTTTCTCCTTCTCCTCCTCCTCCTCCTCCTGCTCCTGCTCCTGCTCCTGCTCCTGCTCCTGATCCTGCTCCTCCTCCTCTTCCTTTTCCTCCTCCTCCTCCTCCTCCTCTGGCAAGAGCATGAGAGACTGACGGTGGGGAGTCAATCAGGGGCATTAAGCGAGCGAAACGCTCGAAACATCCCCACAATGTGGGTACACACGGAAAAATGGAATACCCCTATGGAGGCTCCTCCTTGGTGTGCACAAATGCCTGCTACCTGATCAACCCGGCGACTCCAACATGGGACTCATGGCGGCCACCTGGAAGGAACGCATTCCCCGGGCGCGCAGAGGAACCCAGGGGGTTCAGTCTCCGCGGAAGAGAGAAAAGATATTGGCGAGGGGTTCGGGCACGGGGGCTACCCCTGCCTAACATTCTGGAAGTCTCAGCCGCGGGGGTGCTGGCGCGCGGGGCCCCACCCCCACAGCGCAACCAGAAGAAGAAGAGTGCGAGAGACCAGATTGTAAATGCAATGATAGTATTGCTTGCACGCTACTGTATGTCCTGTTCCCGAAATCGACGACATACACTGTCTCCTTATTCCTTAACCGCTGCTTCCGTACTCCCACGTCGCGACCCTATAGTGTGTCCTCATTCCTACGTCACGAGTCTGTACTGTTTCCTCAAATACCTCAATGGCAATTCGATAAGACTAGTTGTACTGAAGGACCAGGTGGCACTCTAGGAGCAGCTGCGCGCCAGCACATGGTGGTACCCGTGGTACTCAAATATTAGGTGCACTCTGGCCACAAGGGTTCAAGGGTTCCACGCGATGCGCCCGCGGATCAAAAGAACAACATCCATGCGCCGCCAAGGGTCCCGGGTTTATCGGGGCGCCGCGAAAGGATACCGGAGAGAAACCCCAATCGGGGCTATAGGGCTAGGGGGCTAGGGCTATAGGGCTATTGAGCTATGGGGCTATAGAATTGTAGGGCTACAGGGCTACAAGGCTTAGGGCTATAGGGCACCCCCGGGCACGACCGGGCACCCGGGCATCCCCGGGCACCCGGGCCCCGGGCACCCGGGCACCCGGGCGTGCAGCGAAAATCGGCGACAAACCTAACCTAATCATATGAATCCGCTGGGACCTCTACAGAGGCAAGCTCCGATTGGGGAAATAGACCTGCGCCGCCAAGGGTCCCGGGGTTTATCGGGGCGCCGCGAAAATAGACCCCAGCGAAAGGAAGAAAAGAAATCCAACCAGTGGGACTGGGGGGTTCACGCATGAGTCGCGGGGGCGATGCTACATGTTTGCGACCGTAGAAGTTTGAGCGTGAATTCGTATGAATGATCTGAATATGAGTTCATACGAATATGAGTGGGTCTGATTATGAGTGATACTCGTTGGGTGAGACCGAGTGTGGAAATCTTAAGTATGAGCGAGTCTGAATGTGAACGGGTCTGGGTATGAATACCGGAAAGCTTTAATCAATGGAGTGGATCGGCCTGGGCCGGGTCTGGAATCAAAATTGAAAATCTCCATTGATTTCGTAGCTGCCCTGTGCGAGACATTATTTTAGATGAAAGTGCTTGCGATTTTGTTTTTGGCCTTCATAGACTTCGAAATTCGCCCTTACCATCGTTTTCTGCTCTTGCCTTGATTGTTTTCAACTTCGTTTGGGCATGTCTCCATATTGCACCGTTGTTCAATGATTTATTTGGCGGCCTTCGTGGCGGCATTTTTTGTCTGGTCTCTTTTTCTGTTTGATTGTTTCTGAAGCCGGACATTTTAATTCAGTTTTCCGCCCCAAGGGGCACTGCCGCGTTTCCCTAATGACGACATTTGGATTTTTCCCCTGGCCTGGAATTTTGATTTCGGTTTCGCGCCAAGCGGCTGGGGCAACCGCGAGACAAAATAACCCAAGGTGATGAATTTGACTATTTTGTTGCACGCTTTCTTCAATCGCTACGGGTTTCCGAACATTGACGGCTCGTCTTAGGGGGGATGGGGAGTGCGGGGGAGGAGGGCGGGCGGGATGGGTGTATTGATGGGGTGCGTGTGTGTGGGCGCGTGGGAAAGCCAAGTGTTGGGTGTGCAGCGTACAATGGTTTCTGTATTGTCCGCAATAGGACAGTCGCTATTTTGGCCTGGGGAATAAGAAAGGAACCCACAGCGGTGACCGGTGGGATTTCCAACATCACTTGTGGTTTTTCCATGCCACTCCATCGATGCAGCGTGCAACGCGTCGAGGCACGCGCGCGCGCGTGCTCGCTGTCGCGCGTGATGGTTTTCTGTAATGTCCGCCATAGGACAGTCGCCATTTTGGCCTGGGAACTAAAGAGAAACCTGAACGTTGACCGATGGGCCTTCCAACTTCTCTTGCGTTTGTTGTACATGTCCGTCTACTGGTGCTGCGATCAGCCCCGCGACTCCAACGAAGGACCCATGGGGGCCCCTCTGGAAGGAAAGAACTTCTGGGGGGCGCCGAGGAACCCAGGGGGCCCGGCTTCCGCGGAAGAAAAACAACAATCCCTGGCGAGGGGGTCCAACACGGGGGTTACCCCCGCCTCCAATTCTGGAAGAGGAATGAATTCTCAGCCGCGGGGGTGCCCGCGCGAGGGGTCCCACCCACCCCAGCGCAACAAGAGGAGGAAAAGCGTCAGAGCCCAGATTGTGAGTGCAATGCACCAACATTCTAATTGTGGTTGTACTACGGACTTGTGCTAATAATCGGGAGTTGTACCAGGGAGTCATACTGGGAGTTGTACTAGGGAGTTGAACTAGTGCTAGGGCGTTGCGCAAGGAGTTGCACTAAGGGAGGCATCAAAGAGTTGTGCTGGTACTGTTTGTGCTACAGAATTGTACCAGGGAGTTGTACTAGGGAGTTGTACCAGGGAGTTGCACTAGTACTAAGGATTTGCACGAGGGAGTTGTACGAGGGAGCGAGGTTCTACAAGTTGAAATCTGATACCAGTTGCACTCTAATACTTGCACGGCAGGACAATATGCTCTCTAGGAGCAACTGCGCGCTAGTACATGATAGTACCAGTCGTACTCAAGTACTAGATGTACGGTAGTCGGATGGGGTTCAGGGGTTCCAATGGCAACTCGCGCGCGGAAGAAAGAAAGCAATCCATGCGCCGCCAAGGGCCCCGGGTTTAACGGGTGGCCGCGAAGGTTGACCCCCCGCGGAAAGAAGACAATAATTCCGGCAGGCGTGAGTCGCTTGGCTGATGTGCAGCGTGCAACGCCCCGACGCGCGCGTGCGCGCGCGCTCGCTGTCGCGCGCGATGTTTTCTGTATTGTCCGCAATAGGACAGTCGCCATGTTGAGCTGGGAACTAAAGTGGGCCCTTAGCGGTGACCGTTGGGATTTCCAACTTAACTCGCGAATTGCTCTCTCCCTCTCTCTCTATCTATAAATATAAACCGACATGTCCGTCCATTTCTGGAGCGTGCGACGCTCCGACGCGCGCGTGCGTGGTGGTTTTCTGCATTGTCCGCAATCGAACAGTCGCAATTTTGCCTTGGGAACTACAGAGAACCCTTAGCGTCGACCGAACTGATTTTCCAACCTTACTTGCATGTTTATACATGTCCGTCTATTGACGCAGCGTGCAACGCGCCGACGCGCGCGGTGGTTTCTGTAGTGTCCGCAGTCGAACAGTCGCCATGTTGGCCTGGGAACT